TCTTTACCGTTGGCATTTTGAAAAATTAAAATTGATTTCCTCAAACAGAAAGTTTTGGAGATATCTTAAACTGAATTTAAAATTCGCAAAGTTTTTAACTTCATTAAATTCAATATAAATTAAAAACATTGAAAATCACTAAATTTTTTTTCAGTTATTTTAAAATTTGAATTTTTAATTGTTTCTCCTTGTCCCAGACACAAATCTCAATACCAGATGTTCAAGCACCAGATCAAGGGCAGATTTTCAATCCCGGGATAATCCTGATTCCAAAAAGGTATATGTCTATGTAGAGCAAGTGTGTCCCGAGTTAGAGGGGTTTTAGACACACGGACAGACAGACGGAATTTACCGTTTTATTTATTTCAAATTTGAAATACAGAAGTTGAAATACACATTTCAGCTTATACTCTTTACCTGTCACCCAGGTTTTGTTACCAGACAGAAAAGGAAATTATCCCACGCGACACAGATGACCATTTTATGTACGGATGTACGTCTGCGCGTGCGTATGTACATTTTAATTCAATGACAGACCCCAAAATATTTGCCATCTGCCATTAAGTGAAAATATACATACGTACGTGTAATAAAAAAAATCATTAAAAAATTCTATTTTTATCGAATTTCTGAAAAGATAATTAAAATGTTGAAATTAAGAAATTATTGTACAGCCAGTTGTTTCGTTGATTGCTTTTAAGGCTTATCAACCCTTTGCAAGTTATTTAAAATTCTATTTTTATCGAATTTCTGAAAAGATAATTAAAATGTTAGATTGTAAGAACTTGTCAGCTGAGAAATAGACACAGAATTCTGATCCTCCTACTTAAGAAACTAGGAAAGTTACTGTTGGTTTGTTTTGTTTTTTTGTTTTAGGGCATATCAACCTCCATAGTTTATTTAATGCCGGCATTTTTATTGCTGGTAATATTGTGTTTTATCAAAAATCTTTTTCTTGCAATATTTTTCCTTCAAAAATGTATTTCTGGTAATATTTTTTTCAAAAATGTATTGCTAGAAATATTTATTTTTTAAAAACACTGTTGGTAATATTTTTTTCTTCAAAAATGTATTGCTGGTAATAGGTTTTTTTCTTCAAAAATTTATTGCTGGTAAATAATTTTTTAAAGTATTTCTGGTATTAAAGCCTCTTTTTTATATAGTGTCTTTACCACAGTTTCGGGGTTAACTATTTGCCTATAGCTGGGACCCTAACAGGTGCTACCACCCCGGGTCAGTGTGGACATGGGAACATCAGCAATTAAGAGGTGGTTCCACGCTCCTCAAAACCTTCTGGTCAGAGACCTTGCTGCTGGACGTAGTTTATCGTCTTACCCAGGACGCGGATGTAGTTTATCATCATACCCAGGACGGAAGGTTAGTGTTGGGGTAACTAAGGAATGTAGTCCGTCATATAAATAGTGATATTATAGTTTGATATATAGTTTGCCATGTAAATAGTGATATTATACAGAGAGGCTTGTAACGTTTCGTATCTAGAATAGGGGTTGTAAGGTGTAAAACAATTCATCACACACAAGGCCACGGAGACACTTTTTGACGCTATCAAGACTCGAAAGTGAAAACTATACAGCTCCAGCCCAGTTACACCAGCAGTACTTCAAGTAGCAGTTGGAACACTAATTATTAATGTCCTGGGTAAGACGATAAACTACATCCGACAGTAAGGCCTCAGATCATATTCTGAGGAGCGTGGAACCACCTCTTAACTGCTGGTGTTCCCAGGTACACCCTGACCTGGGGTGGTAGCACCTGTTAGGGTCCCGGCTATGAGTAAATCGTTAACCCCCAAACTGGGGCCAAAACACTATGAAAGTGTAAAAATAGGTTTTATACAAGAAATACATTGTAAAAAAATTATTACCACCAATAAATTTTTGAAAAAAATTATTACCAGCAATACATATTTGAAAAAAAAATTACCAGCTATACATTAAAAAAAAAAAAATAAAAATTGACACCTATACTTTTTTTGAAGAAATATTAGCAGCAATAGATTTTGAAAGGAAAAAAATATTACCAGCAGTACATTTATAAAGAAAAAATTTACCATCAATAAAAAATGTCGGCATTAAATAACCTATTGAGGTTGATATACCGTAAAACAAACCAAATCAAATCAAACCAAACTAATAAATGGTTGATAGGATTGTCGGGAACTAATCACATAATGCGTGCATTCGTATTTGACAACGCAAGCCCCCAAATCAGGGACCACAGGCAGACGTTGGGTATTGCCGAAAACCCTGTTTCATACAAGTATGTGATAGAAAATGTGAGTAGAACATCTTTGAGTACAGTTTGGGATATATGTCGACTTTTACATCGGATAGACATAAACAATGTTTATATTATAATTCTCCCCAAAATGGCCGGCTTCTTGTATCGCTCTAGAAAATAGCTGACAACTTCTGCGATGCTGTAAATTTACAATAGTCAGATCAAATGCCAACTGAGTATTGCTACCGTATCCGAAGTGAAGATTCCCAATTCTGGCTTCCCAGCCTCGACACAGTTCAAGTTCAAATTTTAAAGAAACATGAAAATTTATGATTGATCTGATTTTAAAGGAAATGCTATAGGAAAATTCCAAGACATGCTACTAACGTACCTGTCAAAGGAAATGGTATTTCCAAGACATGCTACTAACGTACCTGTCAAAGGAAATGGTATTGAAAAATACCCAGACATGCTACGATAGTACCCGTGCAAGGAAAGGGTATTGGAAAATTCCCAGACATGTCACGATCGTATCCATAAAAGGAAATAATGTAGGATAATTCTAAGACATGCTTTATCGAACCTGTCTACGGAAATGGTAGTGGAATATTCCAAGACAACTATGATTCTAATTGTCAAAGAAAATTATGTCTGAAAATTATCAAAAATGCTATGATCGTACCTGTCAACGGAAGTGGTACTGGAAAATTCTAAGACATGCTATGATCGGACTCATCATCGGAAATGGTATCGGAAAATTCTAAGACATGCTATGATCCGACTCATCAACGGAAATGGTACACTATTTACATTATTCGGACTATTGTCCTCATCTTTGTTGCCATGTTTATCACAACGTTTCGGCCGTTGTACGCCCCGGCCTTCTTCAGGTGGTTGGAATGACGAACTGAACCCTTTATTTCGCTTACTGGAGTAGACTGTTCTAGTTCCACGTGCCATGTTTAATGGATGTCAATTATCTCCTAATTCCCCTCTCAAACTTCTCCACCGCCTTAACCAGGTATTGAACTCACACTCTTTGGGTCCTGTTCCTGGATTTAACTAATACCTTTATCCACCGTGTAATGTGTCCTTGAGGACATCTGTGTATGAATTACTGGGTATTATAAACCTAATGTCTTCACCAACTATTTTTATCAGTGTTCATATTGCAATTTTGCTGTTATCATTGCATTTTTTTTACCAGAGCTCATATTGCAATTTTTGGTGCTGTTATCGCTTTTCTCTGGCACTCCTTATTACTGGTTCCCATATTGTATTCATTTCTATGCTTGGTCGGCTCATGAGATTTTTGTAGCCTAGCATATGTGCTGATTCCTTAAGTTTACGAATTTTCCAATGATGTTCTTTGTCTATGATCTCAACTTGATCCCACAGAGGGTGGTGATCTCCCTTTTCTCTCCATATTTGGTCAGCCACACCTGATTTTTCCACTTCTCATCGTGATACAGCTTTCTGGTGTTCTCGAAGCAAAATAAATAATCCTTGAAACAAAATAAATAAATATAATGTAAATAGTGTATATAATACCTCATCTCAGAAATATAGACAGACACAGAAATTGTATTGAAAAATTCTTTAGCCTTCGTAAATTGACCAGTCTAGAAGATAAATTTAAAACACTCGTAACTAATAGAGCAGGCAGTTCTGTTTTGCCTTGAGAAAACAAGCAGTCTTAGAAAAGAAAATTTCTGAGTTCAAGCCGCATTTGGTCAGACCACCGATCGAGAAGAAAGGTAATTCTGAGTTCAAATCCAGCCTGGAGAATAGATGCAGTATATGCAGTGCTTGTATGACTCTTAATAGTCTACAGACCACGTGATCGTGACGTCTTTCTTGGGCGTCACATTGGACAGTAAATACGACATTTCGACACAGAGAGCGAAAAACAAAACGAGACAGAGAGATAAGGCGACAAAAACATCCGATAATGCGAAACCGCTTAGTCTTTGCCTTTTTCTGAATGTTATGATGGATGTCGTCGCAATCGAATTTGCCGGCAATCCCGTGAAACTACAGACAGAAATAATGTCGGACATTTCGTCTATTTTCTTGCCACCATCTCTATGATTGATCTACTTATCCAGATAATAGGTGACATTTCCTCCCGCGAGAAAACGAGTAAAGAGAGAGAGAGAGAGAGAGAGAGAGAGAGAGAGAGAGAGAGAGAAGAGAAATAAAAGAAAGGGAGGAAGGAAGAAAGAAAACAAAATGACCGACCCCTTTTCCGACCATAGAGGTACATTATGTTGACCTTTTCTGGAAACTCCTGACAAGCCGATTGGATGATACAGGGAGTTCAGAAAAAAAAAAAAAAAAAAAAAAAAAAAAGAAAGAAAGAAAGAAAAGCTATGATTTAGACAATAAGAGACCCGGTGGTTGTGTAGGGTTTGGCTGGGTCAGGGTGTTTTCTTTGGCATCAGGAAATTCTCGTAAATACAACAGCTGATTTTGTTGTAAACACACAGACATACTTGCACATGCGCGCACGCATGCGCACATAGACAGATAACAAAAATAACACACACACACACACAACTGCCTACATATGCCGGCAGAAAACTTTCGTGATCTCTGGTATTGAAAAAAATATCCTTGGAATTTTTTTTCGAAGTAAATGTCTTGAAGTTGTTTAAAACAAAAGAAAACAAAATTATTTCGCAGTTAAAAAGAAAAAAATTTTTAACTTGAGTTAACGATATATAAAAATTAATATAAGGAACACATCTCTCAATTACATGTATCTGTCTGTCTGTATATATCACTCACTCATTATATGTATGTATGTCTGTCTGTCTGTCTGTCTGTCTGTCTCTCTAGTCTATTTATCACAGTCTTTTCATATCTATCTATCTATCTATCTCTTAATCTCTTCATATCTATCTATCTATCTATCTATCTATCTATCTCTTAATCTCTTATAAACTATCTATCTATCTATCTATTATCTATCTATATCTATCTATCCGTTATCTTATCTCCGTTCATCTATCTATCTATCTAACTATCTATCTATCTATCTCAGTCGGTTCACATCTATCTATCTATCTATCTATCTATCTATCTATCTATCTATCTATCTATCTATCTCAGTCGGTTCAAATCTATCTATCTATCTATCTATCTATCTATCTATCTATCTATCTCTCACTCATTATATGTATGTCTGTCTGTCTGTCTGTCTGTCTCTCTAGTCTATTTATCACAGTTTTTTCATATCTATCTATCTATCTCTTAATCTCTTCATATCTATCTTTCTATCTATCTATCTATCTATCTATCTCTTAGCTTCTTTATATCTATCTATGTTTCTTCAAACAGCGGTTCACGTACGATCTCTGAAGTTAACCAACGTCGTACCTGGTTAGTACCTAGATGGGTGACCGCATGGGAATATCGGCTGAGATGTGCGGGTGGTGATATAGATAATGGCACGAAATTGGTTGTCGGAGAGCTAGTCGAGTATATTCCCTTACGCGTAAATAACATTGGGAAAGGGTATGAACCAATCTCTTTTCCTCCCAGCTATGGGTTAATTGGTAGGACGTGTCGGTTTACATCTATCTATCTATCTATCTATCTATCTATCTATCTATCTATCTATCTATCTATCTATCTCAGTCGGCTCACATTTATCTATCTATCTATCTCTGTCGGTTCACATCTATCTATCTATCTATCTCAGTCGGTTCACATCTATCTATCTATCTATCTATCTATCTATCTATCTCAGTCGACTCACATCTATCTATCTATCTATCTATCTATCTATCTATCTATCTATCTATCGCAGTCGGCTCACATCTATCTATCTATCTATCTATCTATCTATCTATCTATCTATCGCAGTCGGCTCACATCTATCTATCTATGTATCTATCTCAGTCGGTTCACATCTATCTATCTATCTATCGCAGTCGGCTCACATCTATCTATCTATGTATCTATCTCAGTCGGTTATCATCTATCTATCTATCTATCTATCTATCTATCTATCTCAGTCGGCTCACATCGATCGATCGATCGATCCATCGAACTACCTACGAGGGAATCAGGATATATAAACTCTATATATCAGAATTATGATCGGTAATTGAATAACTAAATCGAAGAAATTTTATGTAATCTTGTGTCCTTAAAGTTTGGATACATAGGCAAAAAGTGCATATTTTCAAGACACATTTTATTGGATTGGAATATTAACAAATAACGCCTTCCATATGATTTTCCATCATTTGATGCAAAGCTTGATGCACTTTGCAAGATTCACGTGAATTCCATGCAATAACATCACATTGTCGTCAGTTTTATCACAGTCAATCTTCTCCGTTTAGCATTGCCCACGAAAAGAATGCAACGCTTTCTTCTTTCGACAAAACCATGCTTAATCTGTGGACGTAAAAACATATAGATAATGAGATTTCCTATGTGTCCAGACTTTAGGAATATATATATATATATATATATATATATATATATATATATATATATATATATATATATATATATATATATATATATGTAAGCAAATATATGGATATAAATCTGACAGTATGAAGAAAAATATATACGGAAAAACAAACAAATATCCTTATATAATTATGCTGTTTTAATGTTAAAATGTCCTGAAGATGGTCTATTAGACCGAAACGTCCGACGTTGACATATTAACATTAAAACAGGGTAATTGTATATAAAGATTTTTGTTTGTTTTTTCCGTATATATTTTCTTCATATATATATATATATATATATATAAATATATATATATATATATATATATATATATATATATATATATATATATATATATATTAATGGAAAATATACATACATATGCAAAATATATAAATACCCATACATGTATATTTTCAGAAAAAATTCCAAGAGGAAGAATCCAGGTAGAACTCAATGTCTAGGACAGAGTAAGGATATAATAAAAAAGGCTTAAACACTAATATTCCATGGTCATCATTTATTCCATTGGAATCGTAAATACGATCCAATTCATCAGACCTACAAATTCAAAAGAAAACAGAAAAACCCAACTCCGGAAATAAAAATAGAATTTAGAGGGAGTGTAAGTATGAGGAGGAGGGAGATTAAACCTTAACAGAGAGAATTTTAGTGGAAGGGGTTTAAATAAGAGAAAAGAATATATATTAAAAAGAAACAAAAATCGTTAATGGAACCAACGACCACCTTGCCAACAGAGCTAAAAACCTTATCCAAATGAAGTTTTGTACAGAAACAATATTGAAAAAGAAAAAGGCCTAAAGACAAACGTATCTACTCAGTAAAGTGCTCAAAGTCTAGATTGCCAAGAAATAGCCAAAAAAAAAAAAAAAACGCTTGACAACATTAATTCCTATGAAATGATGGACCTAGATGTTACCCGATTTTAACACACACAACTTGAACACAAATGTGTATGTGGAGGGATGTATCCGAATAGTCTCCGAAACAGATGTGAAAATAATGAGACAAAGTTGAAATGCTATGAACGTCGCGTCTCCCGAACGCAGCAGACGTTCTTTCGGTGAAACGCGTCGTTCATAGCTTTTACATTTTCTCTCATTATCTCCCCCCTCACACACACACACACATACACACGCACGTACGCCTGCGCGCATGATCAATAACAACACAACAGCGTCTTATATAGAAAATGCATTGATTGCTAAATCATCAACTGATATTTTTGCCTCCAGGTTCTGAAAATATTTCATCTTTCTGAGCAAATCTTTCGTTTTTCAATGTGGGTTGCTTAAAAAAGTTCGCAAAAGTTATTTTAAAAGTTCAATTATCCGTTGGATGCGTCGACTGAGGATTGATAATTTCAAAGTTCGCTATCATTCATCTATGCTGGAGCAATTATTTTTACTATTAGGTTGGTGCAAAAATAATGACGTAAAAATGTCGTTTTTTGACGTTAAAATACGTCAAAAAACGACATTATTACGTCATTATTTTTGCACCAACCTAATAATTATTAAATCCAGAGAGTGTCGACAAAACTTTGGGCTATAGTTTTTGATCTGTCTGATTAATCTGGGAGTTGAGCACTTTACTAAGGAGGGAGGTGCTTGCCTTTTGGTCTTTTCTTTTCTTTTTTTTTTCTTGTTTCAGATGTTAGGTGGTAAGTTATCTTCTGTTGGTTACATCAACACCGTTGGTTTTTCTTCACACACACACACACACATATATATATATATATATATATATATATATATATATATATATATATATGCATGTATGTGTGTGAGTGTAATAGAAGTAATTAGAAGGATTTGAGATAATCATAATGAAGTAATTCAGTAAATGCTTAAAGAAACTTCAACAGAATGCAGAAAGTACTGGACGGCCGTTTTGTCCTATATTTGGGACTCATCAGCAGTGCGCATCCACTACCGAGAATTGAACCCGGACCGTTACGATACGAAGCAAGCATCCTACCACTCGTCGTGATCTCTGAATACCTCCCCGCCCACACAATTTTTTTGTTTTACTACGTTAATAAAAGATCAGAAAAACGAAAAGAATAAATGATACAAAATGGAAATGAAAAACAAGTAAAATAAATTAACCCAAACAAATGAATAAATAAATAAACACGCCACTCCCGCAAAATTAACCGACAGAATAGATTACCCACAATGCATCACTGACCCACATATATAAATAACCGAGGAAATATCCAGCATTCGCCGCCTGACGATTGCGTCCAGCATGAAACAGCCTGTCGCCTCTGAGTGTTGACTTCTATGTTCACTTTTATATTTATATTTACATACGCACTATCTCTGATATTGAGCACTTTATCCCATAAAATATAGCACACCTAAAAACTAAATTTCTTTAACTAATTTATATATATATATATATATATATATATATATATATATATATATATATATATATATATATATGAGTTAGAGATCAAATGTGGATTAGAATCCAACAGGATGATAAAATAAAGAACAAATAGAAACTTATATTAATCTGAAATGCTTCACTTTTGTTAAAGCTTCGTCAGAGATTAAAGCAGACAAAAAGGCAGTAAACACTGATATTTTCTATTTTGTTTGGGTCAGTTCTCATTGGTCAATCACTTCAACTATCAGCGCAAAATGTTCATCTAGGTAGGGGATTTACTTTCCAGCAAGATAATGATCCCAAACATATGTCTAAATCAGTGATTGCTTGGTTTCAGAAAAGATTACAGTTCTGCCTTGTCCTTCAATGAGTCCTGACTTGAATCCTATTGAAAATCTATGGCAAGAATTGAAAGTAAGAATAATTCGTGGGTCGCCAAAAAACCTTCGGGAATTAGAACCTGTAACCATTGGAGAATGGAAGAAAAACCAAGAAAAGACTTGTTCAAATCACATCAAAAAATTTAGAAAATGATTACAGCAAGTTATAAAGATGAGAGGCCATGTTATTGACTATTAATACTCTGAAGATTGTTCAATTTTTTCTATTCATCATACTGTATTTTGCATAATTTGCCTGTTTTGCATAATTTGCCTGTCAAATGTGCTGTATTTAAGCTATTGTTCTGAAAATTGTGTTTCATATTCCTTTTTTTACACAAGATTCAAAAAAATCTTTCATAAATTTGGACCTTTTTCTATCTAGAATATCATTTATGCATGTTTCAATTAAATACGACAGACAAGATACTACGATTTTTTTTTATTTTTCTTGTGTTCTAACAAAGCAACACTTAATAATATTAACTATTAACACGGCCACAATGTGCTAACTGTGTTCGGAAAATAAAACATCTTTATAACACTAAAAACATACACACAACCTACACACCCAATTAAATTGAAAAAAATAAAATCATCCTTGATAATGGCTAAAAGTATAGCCGAAGGCGCTCGGAATTATAGAACATTTGGACAGTTTCTACACACTCTGTCAAATATATATATATATATATATATATATATATATGTATATAAATAAAAAGAAAGAACAGTAAGATATAAAATAGATATTTTATACAAAATAGTGCCAATGTAAATATATTATATAATTGATTTTTGAAACATGGAATATATAGCGAAAATAACCATATTTTAAATCAATTAATTTATATATATATATATATATATATATATATATATGAATGAGCTCTTAATGGCTTATATATATATATATATATATATATATATATATATATATATATATATATAAACCATTAAGAGTAGCTCATTTTTTTTAGCTGTCAAAACGCACGTTCATTTTTTTCTTTTTTTTACATAACCAAATGCTTTCTTGTAAATTCCAATACGCGCCTTTGTTTGTACACATTCGCATCTTTCATGTTTTCTATGCTTTTGTGCCAATTCCAAAATGGCGTCCCTCACCTCCCGCGTGTTTCAACCTACCATCAAAAGTCGCAGAATTATTCATTTTCGCCGTCGTCTCTCGGGAGATTGCATCTGTTGACATAATACTGCAAAGTCAACGAAACCCAATGCTCTCCGAATCATATCCGTGAACCTGTTTTACAATTCAACTGCCTGCCTTTTTTTTTTTCTTCCAGCATAGATGCATGCTAATAAACTTTGAAATTCTCAATCATCAGCCAAGGCACCCTATGGATAATTGAACGGTTCAAATAATTTTTGCGAAAAAAGCAGTGGGTGGCCTATTTTTTCGTTTTTTTTTACGTTAAACCAGATTTCTTGTGAATGCCGTTTATTCCCTAGGGGCTTCCATATATTGAAAGATTTCACTGCTGCAGAACACCAGGTGCTGTTTTAGCCACATGACCACATATATCCACTAATTACAAATGCAATGATCATTACATTTACGTTATACAAAAATGTTCATAAATAATAAACAGTCAGTCAATTATGTGCCATGCGTGATACACGCTTAGGCTATCATGTATCTTTCGATACATGACTGACGAGGCAAATTTTTTCCTGCAGTAGGTTGCCATTTCTTTCTGGGGAAGACCAGTTGTCATCCAAGGCTATAGAACCCGGTCTTTCCTGATATTTACCCATAGCTGGGGGAGAAGAAGAGGATTCATACCTTTGGCTTGGTTTATTTTGTTTTAC